CCCCAAAACCCCAAAACCCCAAAACCCCAAAACCCCGTCTGAAGTTATAATGTGCTTAAACGATAAATTTAATTAAATTTCGTTTTAATTTAAATTCAAATATCAGTTAACTAAAATGAACGTAAAAAATTAAAGTAATTTCAATTCAGTGTCCGCTAAGAAGCCTACTGGAGACATCGAAGAAAATTCACTACTCTCAAGCATATCAAGCCTGAATAATTCAAATATAAATTAATTTGCAGCAGCAAGGATAGAGTATTAAAACAGTCAAACTCGAAATTAATAATTTATTAAAAATGTTTCTGACTAAAACCAAAAGCCCAAGAAGTCATTCAGATATGAAAACATTAATAATAATAGCAGGATGAAATAGGATTCCTAAGTCGACATAACAAATCAGAGTTACTCAGTAGTTCATAGTCATACACCCTCAAATGGTAAGCTTGCTTAAAATTACTAAAGTCAGTAATAACAGTCATATAAAAAGTAATTTAATAACAATTATCAAGCAAAAAGTAATATTGATCCTTAGGCTTAGAAGAACAACAAGGTTAAAGTCACAGTTAACGCAAGTAAGTATTAAATGTTTGCAAATGCCATAAAAACTGATTATAACTTCCAAAAGTATCCTTCTATATTCCCTGAGACAAATGACAACACATAAGAGCCAAAGATGGAAGAGTAGAAGGAAATGCCAGTTAAGGAAAGAAATTCAAAATCAGTTCAAAGATAAAATGGACATAACAATAAAAAATGGTCTATCAATATTCCTAAGTTTGAAAATTCAATTTCTAAAGATTCTGCAAGTGAGGAAATATCTTAATATAACAGACTAGCTAGCACTGCACTAAATAAATACAAATAAGATGGTGGTGATAACGATAGCAAATCCTATAATAAAAATATAACTATGCTGAATTAGCAGTCTTCAAGAGGTGACTCACATTATCAGTAATACCCAGAGTTTGTTTTTTCACCATAGAAGACTGAGTTTACTAATGACAATCAGATACCTCATATAGAGATTAATTAGGAAGATTCAGACCATAGTCTAGGAATAGATGATGAGGATGAGAGCAGATAATTCGTTCAGGTTGAATAATTCGACCCTAAAAATACAATCAAAGTGATTCAAATGCACTAAGTTGAAAATGATGAAACAGAGGAAGAAGATTACCAGAATTAGGATGATTAGGCGCAAGAACATCACTAAGTTGAATATTCAGAAGAATTACAAAGCGATAGCTACTAAAACGAATAGATAGAAAGTTATAATAATGAGAGCTAAAATTATCATGACTAAGATCATGATGTTTAAACTTCACTTAAAGTTGATACCATGATAATGCATGATGAGTAGTTTGATCAACCAGGAGATTTCACTTCTGGACTAGATTATGACTTAGTTAACTAAGACTACTAAACAGCTGAGGCTATAAGAAATCAATAGAGAAAGCGATCATCTCCAAAAACTAATCCAAAAGATTTTGAGTCTAAAAATTATGAATCAGAATTTACCAGCAAGCATAGAAATTCTTCGGATGATTCCAACGTGCTATCTACAAGCTAAAACATCATGTTTTCTCCTCAGAACAACATAGAAATAGAGGTATTATCACAGCAGTTTTATGATAACACTGAATGTAAAACAAACAGATGGGATCATGACAGAAAAACTAGAAATACAGGAAATAATCATCAAAAGGGTTAGTTTAGCATTAATTAAGAGATTCTATCTCAGCATACTAGGAGAGATTCAAATAATAATGCTGTTAGGACACCTATTCGAAGAGATCTAGAAAATAGTGACACAAAGCTTGATTATTCTCCCATACCAAATAACAACTAATACCCAGAGTATGTCAACCTAGGTAGGGTAGAGCATTCTGATCCTAAAGGACATAGATATAATCAAAGTGACATATCTCAGATCTCAATTCCTTTCGACTAGAATGATCAAGAATTCTACAAGAATTTTGATAAGGATGCTAGTTCTAAGTTTTAAAACTATTAAAATGAATTTTTGATATCATAAAATGGCAAAGAGATTGATACTGAAAGATAGCAATAAATCCTAAACACTAATGAAAAAATTGTGCTAGATTATTGTTCTCCCTAAGAGGACAATAAGTTAAATGTCATGACGTTCTCTCACTTTGATGATCATAACATAAAGGATATCTCAAGTAACAATCCAACCAATAATCACTAGATTAGAGCTTATACAGATAACTCTAACAATTAAATGTATATAAATGATAACAACAACTCTAACATGCTTGAAGGTGGTGCCAATAACTATATTTCCTCAACGTTTCATTCAATGTGCTCTGAACTACCACACAGCACTTAGAAGATGTTTTTAACTATTGAGAATTAGATTAAAGAGAGTGGATTTTACTAAAATTTCTTGTGCTAATCTGACACTAATAACACACAGATGATAAATTTGATCAATAACATGAGAAATCCCAATCATCAGTAATTTCAATAGTAGCTGAATCTGTAATACCTGCCCTATAACTAAGTCTAGTAAATCTAGCAAAATTTATAGACAGAATGCTCAAATTAGAATACTCCAACTCATGCTAATTAAAACTAACTGATATAGACATTTTAAACTGAATTATAGTAATAGCACTAGTAGTAGTAGTAATAATAGCCAGAAGCGAATGCTTTTGTCTTATTGTAATATGAGATGGTTCTACAAAGAATAGGCTAGTAATTCTAATTATGTCTGCAAAGAAATCATGAGCTAGAAGAAGCATTGAAAATATCATAGCATATGAACATCTAAAATTAGCATCTATAGTAGCAATATGAATTGTAGAAACAGCTTTAACCAAATGATTATGAAAAATAAATCCAAGAATTAAGGAAAAACTATGAAATTCAGATAAGATAGCTCATCCAAGAAAGAGAGAGAATGAAACAGCTATTCGATGATAATGAGTTTCAACTAAAGAAACTAAAAACAGATTATGAAGAACTAAAATCTTAGAAAAGCATGCTTTAGTAGCAAGTTGACTAGTAATTAAGTACTCAAATGATGTACAGTAAGAATGAGGATGACCTTAGGAAAAAGATAGATAGCTTACATAGACAGATTAATGAGCAGGAGAAGATCATTCGTCATAAAGATGAGGAAATATTCTAGATAAATACTGAGAGAATGAACCTGATATGTGACATTAAGAATCTTTAGATGCATGATCAGCAAATGAAACAGGAGAATCAGGCACTGAATCAAAAAAGGTGTGATCTCGAAGATGGTATGAATGAGCTGAAGTAATAAATCTATGGAACCTAAATCAATATGAGACAGTAAGAATCGCAAAATGGTATACTCTCAAGATAAGTGCAGTAATTAGAGCAGCAATAGCTAATATATATTCAAGAGCTTGAAGGCTTGAGACAATAAAGTATAAATGAAAGATAGTATAACAAAGAGAAAGAGTTGAGTATGTCCTGCCAGATTTAGAAGTATGATCTTGACAAAAAAAGTCTTGAAAATGAGAATAGATAATTAAATCAACTGCTAGAATAGCTCCAAAGAAATATAACGGAGTAAACCTGTGCAACCATAAGTTCAAGTGAGTCATATCGAGAGCATTAGGTCAAATTCTTAGATAAGAAGGACCAATAAACACCTTCAACCTTTATGTAGATAAGATAGGATTATCTAGATAAATAGACAATAGGAAGAAATTAATCTAAAGATAACAGTCAAATAAGGAATTCTTATAACTAACTTTAAACCTAGAGTTCTTAGGAGGACCATGAAGCGTGGTGGCCTAAGGGAGAAATTAAGAATTGTTAAAGTAGCAGTAATGCTAGTATCCTAAAATCAAATGCCAAGCTTTAAGCTAAATAAAATAGTCTTTCTGTTAACAAAAGCTAGGATTATCTTCAAGGGATTCTAAAAAATAACAATATCTAAGGAAGCAACAACAATAATAAATAAAACGCATTTCAAACTTTTGAGACTAAAGGGCAAGTAACCACTACATCCTAAAATATTTAATGGGCTACATAAGCGAATAACAAAGAAAACTATCAACTTTTTAAGTAGAGAAATAATCAGTCATAACTCTCAAATGTTTTCTCTTGGTCTGATTAAGATTAGCATCCTTAATAAAAGTAGAATGATTATCAAGAACAGTAAATAGATTAATGGCAATCTAATAGGAGAAACAATAATAACCCTCATGAAAATAGAAACTAATCAGTTGTAAACTAGTCTAATTCTAATTACAGCTTAGGGAATTAAAACCCTATAGCCTAATAAAAATCATAGAAATAAATGCTTTAAGATGGCTCTGGTTAGCACGTCACATTCCCTTCCAATCAGAAGTTCGTTGACTAAAAGGATGTAATTTAGAAACTTGAATAGTAGCTACAATCATTGCAATTTGAGAAATAACGAATGGACGTTGAGTTTTCAAAGATTCCAAGCAAGAGCTCTGGTATAAATACTATATCTTTGAAAAAGAAAAAGGAGGCTCTAGAATTCGATATTGAAATTAATTAGAAAAATATTAATACTGTAAAGCAAAAATTAAGAGATTTGAATGCTCTTTGAAACTATAATCTTGACATAATCTAAATTTATTATTAATCATTTAATTTCTTAAATTACCAAATCAAAAAAAATTTTTGGGGTTTTGGGGTTTTGGGGTTTTGGGG